TTAGGACCAATATGTGGAACTTCAAGTTGAGTAAAGAAAAGAGTTTTGAGTTTCTAATGGTGAGGGTACCTTTTCTAGTTTTCTAAGACTAGTCAATAGGAAAGTCCTATGGCTAGACCTAGACTACTAAAGAAGTTTCTAGACCTCAACCAAAAGTGAGGTCAACAGGATGAGATGGAGAAACTTAAGATTGATGGATGGGTTTCAGATAAAAGTTAAGTCCTCTGGTCCACAGGCTAAACCATATAACCAAGCTTTTACCAAGTAGACTGCTTAAATTTTTTATGTCTTGAACCAATTATAAAATTAGGTTTTTTTGGGTCTAGTGATTCATAGGTGTGCTTCAATAAACTTAATGAGATTTCTATGGTTCCTAGGTACCAATTGGGTCATACCATACTCAATCTAGTCTATATGTTCTATGTTTCTTATAAATTTCATGGACACCATAGGGTTTGCTTTTAGGATTGAATTTAATTATTTATTATAAATTTTAAAGTTTACTTCTTAGACTTACATAAACAAAGTTTAATTCATCTAACCTTTTAACACAAGTAAAGAGTAATTTGATTAATTTATGATCAAAGGGATCATATATGATATTTATAATATTTGGTTAGGTTAGGGGTTCCTATGGCCACTTCCATTGTCTAGGGTATTTGAAATCAAGATTTTACGGCTATTCAATGCTAAGGACAATAACAATACACTTAAAGGAACCTATGAAAAGATCATAACCTAAGGAAGCATCCTAAAGATTGAGCCAAACCTTAAAAAATGATTTTATCAATATTAATCAAATCAAGATCAACAAGCATCCACTTATGATAATTATAATCAAGGTGAAGCTCGTTAAATTAGCTATTATGGTCTAAGATGTTCAATCATGACAATTGAACTTATTACTTAAATTCTTTTTGTTCGACGAAGCTTATGTCACCTATGTTTACTCAATTGGAAGTTTGGTTAAAATTGTCATATTTTATAAATAAGCCCAATCAACTTGCACTAAGTGAATCAAATAATATTTTGAAAGGTAATTGAGATTAAGTTTTACATGGTTGACCTATTAATTTTATATAATGCCTTAGGCTTAATCCATTTTGTTAATGAGTTTTGTCTTATAGCTTCAAATATGTTCATTTTGGCTAGTCAAAATATACAAAATGTCCATTTAACTTAGAATTTATACCTAATATTTAGATATACAAAAAAAAAAAAGAATTCCTTAATATCAAATTTTCTAATTTTATAGTCTAGGTTGACCAAGTCTAGGTTGACCAAGTCTATATTGCATCGAAAGAGGTTTAGCATTTAATATCAAATTTTCTAATTTTATAGTCTAGGTTGAATCAAGTTATGGCTGAAAGAGGTTTAGCATGAGCCAATGATCAAATCATATATGGTTTGATGTCTAGAATCTTATGAAAGAGGTTTGACTAATTAATTATATTAATATGTTTAAAATCACTAAATAGATCAAATTTGCCATGTGCTTTAAAGTAACGCCTAATAAACAGATAATTATGCTCCCTCATTTAATGAGTTTTAAAATTATTGTTAATCAATTTCATATATGGTTCAATGTAATCATTTGCAATTCAATTAAATATCACTACCATATGCTCAATAGTCATTTTGCTATCCAATTCCATTTCAGTTCATATATAATTATAATTGATATTGTTAGACAACATGGAATTGGGAAGAAAAACGCCAATCCAAGAAAATATAATAATTTACTATAGAGTCATCGTCCATGGGGCCACTTGGCTCAACTACCTAACATTCAAAAGAGTTTCACTGACCTATATACCACAACACATGCATAGAAATTATTAATTTATCAATTGGTAATTTTTAAGCAATATGAATAATAGATTTATTAATTCAAAAATGATTTTAAAATAATGAAAATCTACTTGTAATACATAAAAATGATGCCCAAGAAGAAAACATTACATCTACAAATTTTAATCTAATTTATAGGAAGCTATGCAGTATTAAAATAAAGCAAATAAATATTTTATTATAAGTAATAAAAAAACTTATATCAAGTGTTTTAACAATATAAGTGAAACAAAAATGAAAAACCAACAAAAAAACTAGATACATAATATAAATAATGAAAATAACGCTGTAACAACTAATGATACATTTATCCATTAATAAATAATAATTACTTATCTTGATGTGGGTAATGCAAACTTTAATTAATTTGAGGTTAAGAAAATAGTACGACCAACGAAATTCTAGAACAAAAATGTTTGGTTAGGTCATACAGTACTAATGCTATAGTAAGTTATCAATTGGATGATAAAATAAGTTTCTATCCACTCAAACCAAACTATAATAATCCTTGAATTACTCAATATGTGAAATACCTTGACCTTATCACCACTTAGCCTTAAACTATTATTGTTATTAATTACCTACAAATATAGAGAAGAGAATAAGAATACCTATAGAAACTCCTAGGTGGGTGGTGAAAGGCTTATTAGATGCTTGCAAAGATAAAAGTAACAACCCAATTAAGGTAGAAGGAAGACAAAACAAAGAGGATATTTTGCAACAAACTAAATCATAGGAGGTGAAAGAAAAATATGGATTGTTTGGACCCAAATAAAGGGATTAGCAGTTGTTTCTAGAGCAGGAGGAAATGAAGAGTTGCTCACACATTGAGGAGAGTGTAAGATAGTCATAATTAATGTCACGAAACACTCCGAGGCTTGGAATTAATCCAGGAAGTAATAGACAGACAGATGGTGGGGATTAAATTTTTTATATTCATTTACTATTGCAAACTATTAACAAATGAAAAAGCCACTAAACAAATCAAATCAATGTTATATATTTAAATTTAACTCGTTACTGGATGTCTGCATCTTCTATAAATATTTTTTCATTCTTTCGCTCATCTCTTAAATTACTTAATTTAACCTAAAAATTTAGTTTAAAAATGACAGTGAGCTATTCTATATATTTAAATTTAACTCGTTACTGGATGTCTGCGTCTTCTATAAATATTTTTTCATTCTATCGCTCATCTTTTAAATTACTTAATTTAACATAAAAATTTAGTTTAAAAATGACAGTGAGCTAAATAAATTAGGAAATACTCACTTCTAAATTATAGTTATACTGGAGAAGAGATAAAATAAAATGTATATATATTTGAGATGTTATTCAATGAATCTTATTATATCAATATCATACCAATATCATTCTATATAATTACAACCATCACAAAAGCACCATCTAAAAATTGTATCACGTAAGGTACTTCAATATCAATATTTTTTTCTATATACGTGCATGAATATCTTAGTATTCCCTCAGAGTATCATAAAGGAGTGACTCCATCATAGTCAATCATGCACATACAAACATATAATAATAATATTTTATTCTCATTTGCATAACATTCAATATTCTTGTATAAGATTCAATATCTGTGATAATGTAAACAAAGGTAAGTATACGTCATTTTTACAATATGAACAAAATTTACAACCCTCAATGTGTGTAATGAGGATACAACCCCCATGTATCCTCCGAATAATCTCCGACGTACACAACACTGCGTATGTCATACGTATGGTAAGCATACGTCATTTTTACAATATGAACAAAATTTACAACCCTCAATGTGTGTAATGCGGATACAACCCCCATGTACCCTCCAAATAACCTCCGACGTACACAGCACTGCGTAGGTCATACATACGCAAATATTTTCCGCTCCACAATGGCCAAGTACGCGAATTTGTCTTCCCTCTCTCCTCTGCGCGCAAGGATTCTTCCTGCCTCTCTATCGCCCTCTCGCTTGCTCGATGCCACTAGTTCCTTATGCTTCATCGGCCTCCAAGCTCCAACTAGCTTCAACTTAACTCATTAGCTCGTGAGCCAACTCGTTTAAAAGATAATTGATATAAAATACACTTAGGAATATATTGAATTTCATCTTTAAATTATTAAAAATAATTAGAGCTAACAAACTGAGCTCGATGAGCTAACAAGTTAGCTCCAAGTCGACTAGTTAGTTCACAAGCCAACTCATTTAAATATATATATATATATATAATATAATCAAAATATATTAAATTTTAGATTTTATATTTAAAATATTTAAAGTATTGAAAAAATAATATTTTGTATTATATATTAGATGATTTCTTGTTATTTATTTACTAATTATTTGTTTTATTTGTGTTGTTATTATAAATTTAATTTAAATTAATATTATTTTTTTTATATTAAATAAGCAAACTTACGAGCTGACTTAAATTTATGAACTTAAAACTTACGGCACATAAAATTAACCAAACTCAAGCCGTATAAAATTAATAAAGCTTAAAGCGCAAGCTCAAGCTCGCTCTAGCTTGTAGCGCAGACTCGCCGCTTACTCTCGGCTTCTTCACCATTTCACCGGAACGTGTGTGCCGCGCGCGCGACAGCGAGCAACAGAGATAGGAGTAGAAATGGTGGTTCGCTCCCTGGACAACGTGGTGATAAAGTCCCCGACGGATCGACGATCCTATCGAGTCCTACATCTCCCCAACGGCCTCACAGCGGTTCTCGTTCATGACCCCGACATATTCCCCGACGGCGCCCTGCAGGGTGATTCCGAAGCGGATACCCGAACCCAAGCCCTAGTTTCAGATGACGACAGTATGGAGGACGATGACAACTCTGACGATGAAGAAGACAATGAAGGTTACAGCGAAGACGAAGAAGAGGAGGAAGACGAAGCAGGTGATGGATGCGAGAGCAAAGGATGGACAAAGAAGAGTGCCGCTCTCACCAAAAAGGTTGTGTTGTAGAAACATGATTTACGTTCATGGTGAATATAAAGTTTGTTTGAGAACTACATAGAGCTGTTTGGCTACAAGTAATATTTTGTAAATCCTGCAGACACTGATTTAGGGTGCTAATAATTTTTGTAAATCTAGGTTTGGTATTGCTTGAGAGGATTAAAACATGAAAACTATTTAAAGACTTTGGAGTTTTGAGAGGGCGAAATACTTAAATCTTATAAATCATGTGAACTGTGGGATTTAAGAATTCCTGAATTAACCAATAACGCGGCTGATCAAAATAATAAGATGAAATCTCCCTAAAAAAATGATTGGCAAGATTTAATAAGAAATTTGAGAGTTTTAAATGATATTATTGAGGCATGTGAACTTTTAAATTTTCTTAAATCTTATTAAATGGTTTGACTATATGTTTCAGATTTGTGATTTATTTAAGAGAGAAATATTAAATGCTATTAAATCCTTTGAATGACTGGATTTACTAAATCTTAAATTATACAGTGAGTTGCTCAGAAGTTTTATATTTTATTAAGTTTTTATTCTATTTTTAATGCGAGATATTGGATGTCATAAAATTTAAAATAAATACTTCACAAGCTTCATTGACTCATAAATTGCAAGAGGGAACAAGAATGGCCATTCATGTATGCGCTTTGTCATATCTCTTGAACTCGCTAACGAATATATTAGTCATATTTCTTGATTTTGCTAACGACTATATAAACGTTGACGGGTACAATTGCGTTTATTTTGCTTCATTATCTTAACTATGTGACTCTAGTTTTGTGGGGAACTTGCAATGAATATCCCTGGACTAATGAGGATGGCATAGAAATAATTGGGGGAAGTTCCCTGCGAAGTTGCATCATAAATGACAACTATGATGGAATAATCTCAACTTGTTCCACAAGAAAAAGATTATAATACGTGGATGTACACTTTTACCAGACATGACTAGTTGCTTTCACCTGATTAATACCCAATCTTCACACTGTTTTAATATTGCAGTAATCATGGCTGTGATCTATGATAAAGAGTTTTTATGGCTACTATTTCCCATGAGGGTTGGTGCACATGTTTGGGATTGATCAAAGTGTTATGTTTTACAAATATCATGCACGACATTGAGGTTGTTGACATCTTCATAATCATGTTGAAGAGCGAACGTGTGCTGGCAAGTTAAAATAATTTTGTCTAAGTTAAGCTTAGATGGTGTCCAAAGAAGACCCACATGAAAGAACAACTTAAAGTCTGTTTGGGGCAGCTGCAGCTTATCCAACTTATCTAGATAAGCTGGCTGGTTGTTTGGGGCGGATGTTTGAAAACAAGTGATTTGTAACTGTTTTTGGATAAATGATTATTTTGCCCCTGTCAAGTAATGCTGTTTGTAACAAAATTCTCTTGGCAATATATTTGATACTGCAGAAACAAAAAACTAGTGCAGAACAGTAAAGACAAGATGAAAAATTCCTCACTTAACAATGAGTATCTATTAAAACTCAAAAATTTTAAGACCTATTTTGAGATTGTCATCCATTGCATCAATTCACAAATAAATTATGTTCATGTAAATAATTATGGGATTATACACATCAAAATGGAGAAAATAAAATGGTAATTGCAAAAGTACAAATAAAAATGGTCTAAAAATTAGGAATGTACTCACATATTCCTTGTCCAAGTCCATAAACTTCTCAGGTGAATGTATATACTCTTTGCAGAACAGGTCCTGTTCCGAACAATTTGAATCTCTCAAACCAATAATGCTTAGCCCTTCGGCCTTCATGATAGTTCGTCGGAGTTCCCCTACGGCGACTGTAGCTCCATTGACTACTGCCGCACCATTTCTGAAATGTTGAGTTTTTCATAGCAGAGTAAATCTGGAGAGTTGACGGCGATGGTGTGGCCGGTGGTGAAGCTGAGGGTTCGTGTGAAGTCTGTGTTGGCCAAGGTGGGGATGAAACAATACGTTGAGTTGCTCGTCAAAGAAGAAGAAGAAAAAGGTGGAGGAGGAGTGGTTGGGCCGATGAAGGAGAGATTCACAAAGCTGCTTCTTGGAGAAGATATGTCTGAGAGAGTAAAAGGTAGTCTCTTCTGCTCGCAACGAGCGGTTCTATCGTGAACAAGAAGGGCAAGCGGGTAAAGCTCTGAAAGAAAAACACGGGTCGTAGGGGCTCGCCTGCGGCCGCGTTTATTAAAAAAGTAGACCCGAGTTTTGCGATAATCCGTTGAGGCATGCAAAACAATCACATTTGCTGCATTTTCAAAGTGTCACCGTAGCAAAATAACTGCCCCAAACGGACCCTTAATTAACCCATTTCATATAGACATTACATCCCATTATAGTGTAGACGATACACATAGCTTGACTGATACGGACAATTCTAGGAGGAAATAGACCTAAATCTTACAGAAAAATAAGCCTCAAGTGATTATGGTCATGCGAAGTGCACCTATCATGACTTGTATTATCTTCTTTAGTGGAATCGGTGTTGATCACCATTACTAATAATGAAAAATCAACAAATAAAAATTTGTATAATGATGCAATTGTTATCAAGGCACATATTACATGCTATAAGATTGGAAACATTTTTATAGATGGTGGAAGTTTTGTAATATTATCAAATGAGTCTTTTCAAACACTAACTTTAATCATTTTAGATTGCTGACTACTATAGGGCTGCTCAATGGTTTCTGTAGTGAACAAAGGAGAACAAAGCGAATGTTTGGGTTGCCGATTATTTAGGGAGAAGGTGCTCATCAATTTGTAACAACGACTAACTTTGTCGTAGGTGCCTAATGTCTCACAACACTAGTTGTTTTTCTATTTCTCAGTTCCTTCAAGTTTGCAGTCTTAACCTATCATTTTGTGTTAGAGTACTTACCATGATGACACACAATCACTATTCCTAGGAACTTATGACAATATTATGCTACTGGAAGGTGGTAGGGAGAGTCTGAAAAGTGGTTTGGCAACTCAATGTTTAGAGTTCCACTTGACCTATGACCTCCAAGGAGATCGAGTAAGTTTCCCTATTCAAAGATACACTTTGAATCATCGTGGCTTTTAGTCCACCCTAAACCCTAAAAGGTTGAACTCGTTAATATTCTTTGTAATATCTATGAGGTTTTTTCTTGGTTTGTAGCAGAAATGTTAGTAGTCAATATGAATGTTATTGCATGCCAACATCGACAAGTTGGCATTCCTTATGAAAGAAATCACCAATTTGCCACAAGGTGGGTTGAATCTATTTACTGCAAAGTCCATAAGCTATTGAAGGCCATACTTGAATGGAATTTCAAATTTGGCAGTGGCTCAAAATCAAATGGAAAGCAGAGCATATGCATATGTGTAACTTTGAACTCGGATTGCCCAAAATATAGTGACCAATTCCACGAATTGATACATTAGTTAACTTAACAGCTGACTTGTAATGAGGTTTTTGGTTGCCTTTTCAAGTTACCACTAGATAACGATGCACCCTTCCTATTATGAGAGGATGACTTTCATAACTGATTACGAATTTGTGCTGCTACAATGCGATGCCATTTGAATTACAAAATGCATGAAATACTTATTAGAGAATGATGAAGTATGTGTTTAAAGATCAAAATGGGTGAAATATTGAAGTTTTCAACATACTGTTCTAGAGTAAAAGGTTATATAGGAAACTTTTGTGAAACATTGTTAACAGTTTTATCTTAAGTAGAAGGGTGGGCATGATCTACAGTTATATGAACATTTTAATAGGTCTTCGGATATGTTGATCTCTCTTTGATTGTACATTTGCAAGGGCAAAAGGCTTCCTCTAGTTCAGTTGATGAGAAAGGCAGGTAATTTTGTTCGTTATATTAATAGATGATTTATAATTCTTGAATAAATTGCTGGAAATTTTTATTCTGAGCTGATTGCTTCAAATTGAGAGTGATAATGATCATAAATACGCCGCCCATCATCCATTCTCATGCATATTCATGAAAATTACTAATTTTCTTTTTTTTTGTCCAGGCTGCCGCTGCAATGTGTGTTGGAATTGGAAGCTTCTCTGATCCTGATAAGGCACAGGGTCTGGCACATTTTTTAGGTTTGATTGCCCTACTTGAATTGTGCTGAGGCATATGGTCTTGTATTATTTTACTCTCTTTAGTTGCTGCCTACTTTCCACTATTTTATCATACATCAATGGACAAACTAATGATTTTTTTAATTTTTATACACTGCTTAAAATATTATTCATTAATAAAAATACTGTTTTAAGCCTTCGATAGTTGTAGATTATATATTGACTATTTTCGTCTGATGGAAATATTCTTTAATTAATTGATGTAAGTTCGATTGTTTCTTTTTAATGGTAATTTTGGTAATTTAGATGAGGCTATATTTTGCTAAATTTGTTGATGTTTTTTATGACAGCATCATAGCTAACACTTTTTGGTGTTAAAGATGAATACTAGTTTGTGAATATCACGAAGTAACATTCTCTGACTGTTAATTTTCTAATTTTATTTAAAAGTCTTGTGGCTTACTGCCTTTCAGAGGAAATTTCGGGAAAACAAGGCGTGTTGGCCTTAAGATGCATTCATTTGTATTTTATTAGCGTGATATTACCATGCTTATTTAATTGTAGCAACTATGTTGTGAAGGAAGCTTTTGAAATAAGATTGTTTTAAGGACACGCCAAGGTTACTTGGCTTATAATTGGTGAAGGTGATCTTGGATATTGGGGAACCAATGAAGATTAAGTGAGTTTCCAAAAGGAAAGAAAATGGTCAAAGTGAAGATCCCATTTGACCATTTGGAACGAAAATGGTCACAATAAAGATACCATTGGACTACATATTTGTTTTTAACCTGTTTTTTAGTATAGTAAGGAGCCCTGGAGCATTCCATGTCTATTATACACCTTGATGCAGTGCAAGCTGATTGCTTCCTGTTTCCCAATCCAGGTCTTTGTCCGATTGAAAATTTATACCATAAATATGGATGCTGGGAATGGGCTATCGCGGGTGTTTCTCCTTGCCCAAGATACCTACATACACTTATTTTTGTTAATGCAAGGCTTCATGTTTCTGGAGGGGCTTTTGGCGGTGGCCATATGATGGAATGTTCATTAGGTGCTGCAATGCTGTACTCTGATGCAGTAGTTGGGTGAAATATAAAATCAGTGGTAATAGGTCCAAGTACATGAAAATGATGCTCTGATGCTGCTTGTGCAGATGCTTCATACATAGAGATTCAGGCATGCAGCTGCTATGCACTCAATGACTAAAGAGAGTAAACAAGGTGGAATATATTGTTGACTAATACGTTAAGGGATGAGATTTGCTGTGGCATTCTTTCTCCTGGTTTATTTTCCATATCTTATAAACCTAGGGCTTCTTCAAGTTTTCTTCCTTTGAGTTATTCATTGTTCTAATCTTCTCCACCTTCATCTTTTCTTTACTTCTGTTGTTCATGTTTCACAATGGATTCTATTCTCTGGAATAAATGTAGTTTAAAAGTTTCACCCCAATCATCACTTCTGCTGCCTAACATTGCATCAGTTGTGCTTATATTATGACATGCAATATCAACTTTTTGTTGAATATATTAGTGGTATTTAGGATGCCAAACGGCTCAAATTCTAAGCTAATTTAGACAATGTCTATGGTCAATTTGCTGAGCGCTTTTGAGTTGGTATCTAAACCTGGCTAAAATGTTATAGAGATTTCTATGACGGGTATATTATGTAATGTTCCCGTTTCTGTTACATGGGGGAAGGGGAAATGAATAATTAAAGGAGAAGAAGAAATTAGAAGTCGGGGCATTAGAGATTCAAAGGAAAGGAAGCGAGCAGTCGGACCAAAGAGGAATTGAATTGGGTCGAAAGTCGAAGAGGGAATGTCACCCTATAAATTGCGTATTAGACGGGAGGTGATCAGAGAGCAAAGGAGGGTGAAGGAGTAGCGTATTGATCCCGATTTTATATGTCAATACAAAATAGGTAGTAATATTCTTCATTTTTTTTCCTATAATTTTTATTTTGCAACGACGCCAAAAACTTGATTCTCTACAACGACTGCCGAAAACTTGACTTCGAAGCAAATAATGATACAATTTTTATTTTTAATTATGGGATACTACGCAAGTATACATATCGTTATCAACTAATATAAGTCCCCCCCAAATATCGAACCCATAGAGACAATTAACAATATGTAGCTAAAATTAGAATAAATTAGATAACAAATTCAACATAGCAAAATATTCTTACTCAAACTATAAATGCAATAATAGGAATGAAAGTTCGATTTTTTTTGTAAATTTTTGATAATTGAAAGCAAAGTAAACAATTAATTAAACTTAACTAGATATTTGTAAGATGAAAACAATATAAATAAAATATCTATGCTTATCATGAATCGGTAATAAGTATAAGAATTCTGTTGTATTGTGCCAAATAGGAGCAATAATATTCTTTACCTTTACTAGAGATGCTATAAAGAACATTAACAAATTTAAAGTTTGAATAGTCTTGAAGACGAGTTAGGTAGGTGTCGGCCGTTTTAAACTACATGATTTGAAAAAGTGATGATTTTGTGATTTTGAAAATAATTTAAATTTGAAAATAATTATTTTGAAAATAATTTAAATATGAATATAACCCTTTTTGATTTTTAAAAGTAACATTTTAATTTTTAAAATAAGTGAGACCAAACGAGTCACACATTTTAAATAGTTTAGATGATTGAATACAATACTACTAGTAATACACTTATCCCGAAGAATAATAATATCATTTATAATAGGGATTCAATCACCTAGACTAAAGAATTTGTGACATCCGTTTTAGTCTGCGAAATATTTTTATAAAAAGGCCAACAAGTTCCCCTACCTAACATAAAAAAATTTGATAGGGTTTATTTTATCTGGGTTCCAGGTTCTCTATAGAGGCAAAACCCTATAGTTAATTACATCTTAAATGATCGAAATCACTTAAGAAAAATCTCGATTAAGATCATGTGGTTTTGCCTTCAAGATTTCAAAGTTTAGGTTTTCATGATTGAACATGGGAAAATCAAATGAGAATGACTCAAAATAAGAATAATTATTTAAGAAATCCAAAAGGAAGAAAAGTAGGGGATATCACAGATCTAGGAGAAACCTCGGAGATGTCCCAACTATCATAATGTTCGGCTTTATGTCTTTTGAAATGATTTAATTTGATATTTCAATCCTGCAAATTATTTACGATTTAAGACTTATGTTTACACAATATCGGACTGTGCAAATAGCCTAAAAAGATAGGAGGATTTACGCCGTATCGCACGGTAACCTCGGAATCCTAAAGTGTTAGGACTTATAATTACACAACAGGGTTGTGCAAAAAAGCCTAAAAGTGTGATATGTGAGGGTTTACGATGTGAGGGTTTACGTTGCGCTAGACAAATTACCTCGAAGTCCTATGGATTGTTATTTAAACTAAGGAAATTGTATAGTATTGTGAAAATGCTTATGTGATGTGTTTTGATGCTTTTCTGATCCACCTTGAAGTTGTTTTTCGTTGTGCTGTCTATGATGTTCGCTCCAAGCTCCTCGTAGTAGCACCTCCTGATTTAATTTTAGTTTTGAAAATGCACCTAACCACCAATAGATTATCCTATACTAAGACATAGCGTATCAAAGTAACTAAGCATGCAGTATAACAGAAAAGAGCAGTATAGTATATAGTAGAAAGAAAAGACAATATAACATGCTAGAAAAATAATATAACAGGCTCTGAGAACAATATAACATGTTGTGAAATAAAATATTGTAATGTAAAATAAACCTGTACGCTTGGGAGATTAATTGCTCATTTAAGTTTAGCTATTATGCGCTGTGTAAAAGGAGAAAATATGACTTCAAAAAGACTTGAGAGAACAGGTAAATTGTAGGAAAAAGACAAACAAATAATCAATTAAAACAAAACACAATGTCACGTATAAAGATCCATGAGTATGTGACTTATATGTGACATTGGGAATGTCTCCAATTGTCAGGAGAGGATCTGAGTGTAAGACAAACTCAAATCCCGGAGTATTGAGTTTCAGTTTTGGTCAAGTTAAGGCAAGAATTTCATTATTTGATTTAATTAAATCAGTCATGAATCACATTCTAGTGCACCTTCGTGTCTAGTGTCCTTATGTACTAGGGTCAGATGTCTGATCTTTTAGGATCATTTGAAAATTAGGAGGATGAACTCTCTCAAGGTGTGCTCCTAAGATTTAGGAAGTCTACACTTTAGTTTGGGTCTGAAGTGTTCTAAATTGTCTAATTTCAATTAAGTGTCTTTCCACTAATCCTCAAGTATCTTTTAGATCAAACTTAACTCCCTATCAGACTCCTAAAACCTAAGGGGTGAACTTATAGTTTTGACAAAAGGGTTGTGAAGTGTGATTCAATCCTACTTAGGGTAGTTGGATTTAAGTTGATTCAAAACTTAAGGAACCTAAGTGCAGGTCTTTTGATCTTTCAATCCATGTCCCTAATCATCATCCAGGCTCTCATTTTCTTCCAACCCTCAACTATTCTTTCAATTTACAATTTCATCTTTTATATGCAAAAAGAATGGTAGATGGTTCAGTATTCTATCCCTTCTTTAGGTTTCATCATCTTGAAGATCCAAATTTCATTTTTAAATCTTCTCTCTCTTTCTTTTTCCCTCATACTTCCCTTAAGACTATGAATCATTTCTGAATATAATTAAATCGGAAATTCTCATTTTTAACTTGACCATAAAAAAAAGAAAACAAAACGAACGAAAAGAAAACCGATCCATTTTTTAAAACCAAGTCAAATCAGTAAAACTTAAAATGAAATCATGAATGTATCGGTCTGAAATGTTTAAATTCGTTAAAAAGAAAATGATCGGATCAATCCCGAGAGGGATATTATTTCCAAATGTCAATCTTGCGCATTTCCAAACCCCTCATGAATTCAATTTATATCAAGTTTACAATTTCTTGAAATAAAGTTTCAAGAACTTGTCATATGTCACAAGACATCCATAGGGAATGAATTTTAATCCATAGGGAATGAATTTCCAAATTTCCAAAAGCTATA